TTGTTTATGGTTTCCTTTGCTGTGCAAAAGCTTTTAAATTTTATTAAGTCCCATTTGTTTTTGTTTTTATTTCCGTTACTCTAGGAAGTGGGTCAAAAAAGATCTTGCTGTGGTTTATGTCAAAGAGTGTTCTGCCTACAATTTCCTCTAAGAGTTTGATAGTGTCTGGCCGTACATTTCGGTCTTTAATCCATTTTGAGTTTATTTTTGTGTATGGTGTTAGGAAGTGTTCTAATTTCATTCTCTTACATGTAGCTGTCCAGTTTTCCCAGCACCACTTATGGAAGAGGCTGCCATTTCTCTATTGTATATTCTTGCCTCCTTTGTCAAAGATAAGGTGACCATATGTGTGTGGGTTTGTCTCTGGGTTTTCGATCTTGTTCCACTGATCTATATTTCTGTTTTTGTGCCAGTACCATACTGTCTTGATTACTGTAGCTTTGTAGTACAGTCTGAAGTCAGGGAGTCTGATTCCTCCAGCTCCATTTTTCTTTCTCAACATTGCTTTGGCTATCCGTGGTCTTTTGTGTTTCCATACGAATTGTAAAATTTTTTGTTCTAGTTCTGTGAAAAATGCCATCAGTAATTTGATAGGGATTGCAATGAATCTGTAGATTGTTTTGGGTAGTATAGTCATTTTCACAATGTTGATTCTTCCAATCCAAGAACATGGTATATCTTTCCATCTGTTTGTATCATCTTTGATTTCTTTCATCAGTGTCTTATAGTTTTCTGCATACAGGTCTTTTGCCTCCTCTAAGATCAGGAACAATACAAGGGTGCCCACTCTCACCACTATTATTCGACATAGTTTTGGAAGTTTTAGCCACAGCAATCAGAGAAGAAAAAGAGATAAAAGAAATCCAAATTGGAAAAGAAGTAAGACTGTCAGTGTTTGCAGATGACATGATACTATACATAGAAAATCCTAAAGATGCCACCAGAAAACTACTAGAGCTAATCAATGAATGTAGCAGGATACAAAATTAATGCACAGAAATCTGTTGCATTCCTATACACTAACAATGAAAAATCAGAAAGAGAAATTAAGGAAACACTCTCATTTATCACTGCAACAAAAAGAATAATATACCTAGGAATAAACCTACCCTAAGGGTGCTTTAAAAATCTCTGTCAGGTAATTCAAAGACCTGTCATCTCAGTGTTGGCATCAATTGACTGTCTTTTCTCTTTTGAGATTTTCCTTGTTCTTGGTATGAATGGGTGATTTTCAACTGAAATCTGGATATTTGGGGCATCATATTATAAGACTCTGGATCTTACTAAACCTTTTGTTTTCAGCTGGCTTCTTCTGACACCCAGAGGAAAGGGGAGGTGCCACCTCATTATGTCAGGTGGAGGTATAAGTCCAGGTTCTACACTCAGTCTCCACTGATACCTGAGGGGGAAGTAGGGACTCCTCTTTACCACTTAGCAGGGTTGGGAGTTCTGGCTCCTCACCAGGCTTCCACTGATACTGCCCCCCTGGCTGGGTGCAGTAACAGTAACTCATTACTGTTCCCCACATGGCATCCAATGATACCATGAAGAGAGGGTGTCAATGCTACATGGTGCTCAAAGTCCTGACTCTCCACAGGCCTCCTCTGATACCACTCCAGTGGAAAAGGGAAGTTGGGAAGGAGTGTCTCTTATTGCCAGGTGGGATAAAAGTCCAGGCTCCCCGTGTGTCTCCACTGATACAGCAGGGGTGGGGGCCTCAATACTTCCCAGTTGGGATGAAAATCTTGGCTCTCTACTTAGCCTCTGACACCATATAGCAGGGAGGATGGGAGACCTCATTACAACCTGGTGAGGGTGGAAGTCTAGGCCTCCCACTTGGCCTTTGCTGGCATGGGAGAGGATGGGGCCACAGTTTCTTATGTGGTGTATGGCTGGAGTAGGAGTGATTATAGTCTAACAGTTTTTATCTTGCCAGGCTGCCTCTTTCCTGGTCTTTTGGCTAGAGAGAGCACACTTTTGGTAGAGCTTTTCTTTTTATGCCTAGTGGTGTTTCCAAGTTATCAGCTTCTTCAGCGCAAGCTGGGACATATGAGGCAAAAACAAAAACCAGGGAACACACCATCATGGTGTTCCTTTGGTCTAAAAGCCCCTAGCCAGTCAATCTTCCTCTCTCCATCTTTCAGAGTCTTCTTATGTTTGTTTTACATATAATGGCTAGAGTTTTTAGTTGTAATTAGCAGGAAGAATACAGAAAAATACTACTCAATCTTCCCAGAAATGGAAGTCCTCTACTTGTTTTTTAAATACTCTAATTTTTCTTCTATTGTCAATTGTAATAACATTAAGCATCTTTATAACTATAACCTGTTCTTTTGCAGCTGGGTTCTAATCTATCATTCCACTAAAACATAACATTAATTACTAAATTACATTTTGCTGTCAGTCACCTTGCACTTTGGCATCTGTATTTTCTAAATTCTCCCCCTTTCAAATAAAACTACTCAATGAATGGGATACATTTCCACCACCACCTCCACTTCAATACCTATGTTTGGTTTGAATCGGAACAAATCTGATCAAAAGATTAAGTAAATATATCAATTCTTAAGACACTTATAAAAGCCATGGAAATGTTTTAAAATATTCATTTTCAAAGAGGTCTTAAAATTAACGATAGAGAAGGATGTCCAATAATTTAAGATTTTTTTTACTAGACCTAGCCCAGTTACTACCTGGATTTCTAGCCACTTTTTTCTTTCAATTTCTAAATTTCTTTCTAATTTGAAGTCTAAACAATTTATTAACTAAGGTCCATCTATATATCTCATAAGGCCCTAGGAGAAACAGAGATATTTTGAGTAATTACCTGCGTCTAACCTGAAGCACTCTTGTGTTCCATTCATCTACTTACATTTTCCTATACTACATTCAGATATTCAACCAAAATATATTGGTCACCACTATCCTTACCCAATTATACGCCAAGCACTGTGCCAGGGTCTGGAAACATCAATGTGAACAACACCAACACTGTCCTGCTCTTATATTCTTCTGAAGCTTCCTGAGACAGTGATATAGCAAAGCAATGCTTCTCAGACTTTTCTACCATATAACGCAAGTATTCAGAAGCCTACAGAACTCAAGGTTGGAAACAGTCTACTCAATCTTATGTCTCCTATTTATCCTTAAAATTCAAAGTAATATTACTAGGAAATTACTAAATTTGCCTCAATTTTCTTCATAGCACTTATCATAAACTAAAATTTCATATGTTCATATGATTATTGCCTGACTCTTCAGCACTGGAATACAAGCTCCGTGAGAGCAAAAACCTCTATTTGGTTCACTACTCTATTCCCTGCTAGAATAGGGCCTAACGTAATCAGCATTCAATAAATATTTGTTGAATAATTACTGTATAAACAAATGAGAACCACAGAAATTCTCACTTTTATTTCTTACTTAAGAAATCAAACTCTTATATCATTATTTATCTTCAGAATGTACTTCTATGATTATGAAATATAAAAGTTTTAAAAATAACCTAGCTCAGCTTTCCCATTCCTGATACTTTGTTCTAACATGCAGCCAATTAAAATTTCTACTCTAAGAGCTTGAAATTTGTATCCCCTATTTTAAGGTTCCTTATGTTTCAGGTAGCATAAGTTTAAAATAATTCCCTTGAAGTCTTAGAAATTCTTTGCATAATATTTAGCTGGGAAAAAGAGTGGGGAAGAAAGGAAGTAAAATACAGGCAGAAGTTGGTGACTGCATAGGTGTTCAGCAAGAAATCAGGTGATCCTGAAGATGATACTATCAGTTTTGCTAATGGAGCATGCGAGGAACAATCTGATTGTATTCTAGCATCCCCACTGATCAGTAAAGATTGATCACCAAGCTGACTAGTCAGATATCCCTTTCCATGTCTTGTTTACTGAACGACACAAATTAAGATTATCTGCTTACTTTGAATTACTCAACTGCGAAGCTCTATACTTGCTCTGTCCAAATCAATAGCCACTAGCCACATGTGGCTACTGACACTTGAAATGTGGCCAGACTGACTCAGGAACAGAATTATTTTATTTTTATTTAAATGTAAAAGTTGAAGCAGCATTAAACACAAACTTCACTGTTTTGGTAGAACTAAATTTCCCTTTCACCTGTACACTGCATAAATTAGTATATTTAGTAGTGTGTGTATACTAGAAATTTTAATATTATATATGTGGCTTACATCACACTTCTATTGGAAAGCACTGCTCTAGGACATTGGTTCTCAACTGGGGACAATTTTGTTCCCCAAGAGACATCTGGCAATATCTAGAAACATTTCTGGTTGTCACAGCTTGGGAGTGCTATTGCATCTCATGGGCAAAGGCCAGGGATGTTACTAAACATCCTACAATGCACAAAATGACTTTGTTTTGTAAACAAAACATACCTAACTACCACCACCACCACCACCTCAGTTCTCTTACCAAAATACAACTGAGAAAAGTATCCATTACCTAAGGAAGTAAGGAGGGGGGTTGGGAGAGATGACAGGTGGCTGATGTCAACAGAAAAGGCTGGTGTGTAAGATGAAAAATTTGTGATCATACAAGGAAGCTGGTATGATTTTAAAAGGCAAAAACAAAAGAATGAGGAATACATTTTCTTTTATTGTTTAAGTAAAGGAAAAAACTACTATCGACAAAATGCATATGAGAGTAAGTGAGACGTCTCAGGTAGTCAGGATCAGAAACTCTTGCAACAATTTAGGGAAGGAGGTCCTAAGGCCTGAATTTAAGTGTACTGCAGCTCAGAAAAAAACAATGGAATAATTATCCCTTAATATCTTAAAAGCATTTTTTTCTTTAAACAGCCTAATCATATACAGCAATATAAACATATTTCAAGAATGATAAATGAGCATCATGATAATAGTTAAATAAAAATGAAAGATATAATCGTTTTAAAATTAATCAAGAGTCCCAAATAAGATCAGACCAAGTCTCACACTAAGGCTGAAAGGGCTTTTAGGCAGACATTTTTACCTTTCTGTGTCAAGCGCTTCCTCATTTTTCATCCATCTAATGGTTGGAGTAGGAAGTCCTGAAGCAACACATGGTAACACTGCACTCTGACCAATGACTCTGACTAAGGAAGAAGGTTGTTTCAAAAATACCAAGTTTGATGCAACCTCAGGATCTAAAAAAAAAAAATTAAACAAAAGACAATAATTAAGAAAGCACTTTACCACTTTAATGATAAAGAATGGCAAATTCCTATTCAGTCTGTGTGGCTTTATACACAAAATAGTTTAAGCAAAAGTGACAAGAAAATTCCATTTAAATTAGCAAACATTTCTTAATAACTTCCATGTGCAAAACTTTGTGCTAGGCTCTCTGGGGGCCTTAAAGATGTATAAGTTATAGCTCCTGCTTTCAATGTGCTTACTGGTCATCTGAGTGAGATCTGACATGAATCCCCTTCATTTTAAAAGGTAACATAAAGTAAATGCTTCATGAGTGGTACAAATAGAAAAAAGACTGATCAAGCTCAGGACCCTTAGCAGTATCCTCCCCACTCACAGGGATACCATAAGTGGTTTCTTTTCCTTCCCTACACCTGTGTGTTACTTCTGAAAATCTTTGATCTTCATCGCTTTGACTTTCTCAGTTAGACTGTCAAACCTTTGATTTTATAATGGTGCAACTAACAGGCTACCACTATACGTGTATTCACTTCATACAGCTGCCCTCTTATGAGCATATGAAAAGGCCATACTCGTGGGGTAGAAGATAGGGTTCTCTACTAGATGGGGGTGCTATTTCTAATGTTAAGTTTTGAGAAAAAAGACTGTTCTCAGGCAAAGAGATGTGACTCTTATCCCCATACTCTTAGAAAAAGATGTTCTATAGCCATGGTAACAACCACCAGAGCTGGCCTTAAAGTTATGTAACCAATCGATGACAGTTCTGTAGCTATGGTAACAAGTAGACACTGTCTAATAGTTCAGTACAACTCGCTTCAGTGAACATGCCTTTGAAAGCCAACCAATGAGTTTAACCAATGCCTTTAAAAGTCAGCCATTCAGTGGTGGAATCCCTTGCTTCTAAGGCTGACACTGCTCTCATCTCTGTAACCAACCATAAAACATGCTTCTATTACTGACATCAACCCATCCCAGCCTCCTAACCAACACACCAAGAACAATGTCTTCCCAAAAATTTTATAGGAGATTAGCAGTTTGCATTATTCAAGACGACTATGCTTTACAAGCATAGCTCTCCGTTAAGTAAACAAAACATTCTGTACTTTTTGTTTCAGATATTTCATGGTGGCTCATCCTTTTGACACCAAGAATCTTATTTACTTGAATCTGGTTTTAGGATTTGCTTGACTGCTACCACAGATTTAGAGAAAAAAATATGACCTCTGTCTGCTATCAAATATGCCCTCTGTCACATAAAAGCAAGTCAGGAAGTAGGCAGGAAGACATCGCTATATAGCAATAGTTCTCTTTCACCTTGAACTATTTACCTAGAATTAATCAAATTTTGATCAAAACAAACAAATCTGAACAAATATTTATTGGCTTCTATGTGCCAGTTACCATTCTTGGCAGCAGATAAAATTCCCTGCCCTAGTTGAGCTTACATACTAATAAGGGGAGAGAGACAACAAATAAAAGACATGGTATGTCATCTGGTGATATGTTCTCAAGTAAAATGAAGGGGGAAGGAGAAAGCGCTGGGGCACAAATGGAAGACTGTTGTTTTAAACAGTGGTCAAAGAAAGCTTCACTGATAAAGTGATATTTGAGCAGAGAGGTAAGACAGTGAGTCAGGCAGAGATATCTGAGGGAAGAGGATTCCAGGCAGAGAAAATGGCAAGTAGAAAGACCCTAAAGCAAGAGCATGTTTGGAGTGTTCTAAAAACATAAGGTGGCAACAATCACAGAGTGAGGGAGAGAAGGGTATGAGATGTAAGAAGAGAGATGGGGGAGGGAGGTGGCATTAAGGTTATACAAAACCTTACAGGCCAAGGACTTTTAACATTTGCTCTGAGATGGGAAACCATTAGGAGGTTTTACGCAAAGATGTGACATGATCTAATAAACATCTTAAAAGATAACTGTGGCTGCTGAGCTGAGAATACACTGGGATAGGAATGATAAGAGCAAGAACGACGATGACAAAGGAAGAAACTGCATTTTAAAAAATCAGTTCAAGGCCCATCAGGAATACTCTCAAGAGTGGCTGCTCATAACATTGGATAACATTGGCCTCCCTTTGCAAGCCAATCCATAGGCTAAAAACATGCCTACAAAATGGTTATATACAAAAACTGTCCAAACAATGTAGGGATGGTCCAACTCAGATTTGAAATGAGAAATATGGAAAGAATCAGGCATGTAGCAGTGGGAACAGAAGCTGAAAGGTCATGAAACACCAAGAGGGTAGAGGGACTATGATGAGCCACAAGTGAGAGAACATCACGAGAAAGCAGAAGTTACAGAGCTGAGAAAAGATGCACAAAACAGATTATGAGGAAAGCCAGTAAGGGCAGAAAGAATGAGAACCCACAAAGAGAAGGAAAGACAGAAAGAGGAGCGTTCATTAAAATGGGGGAGCATCACAAAGATCCAAGAACTCTTGCTCACCAGTGTCTCTAGAGATGCTGTACTAACAGTTACTACTCTGCCCATCCCTTATATGAACCAGCCTGAGTGAGTCTCTGATTCTTACAAGTAAAAAGACTTAACTATAAAAACAACCCTATTACAGGGAGGTAAGAGAACTATAAAAAGTATGCTATTGGGGGAGAGAGCAGAAGATAGAGGTTTGACAAAAGACACAGAGCTAATGTTTCTTTGGCCACGAAGAACACCACAGATACTGAACATACTTTACTGCTTGGTAAATTTTTACTGACCAACACATTTGCTAAAAATCTGTCTGGTATGTTTTCTTCTTTTGTCTCCCTGTAAGAAACTGAAACTCTTTATGCTGACATTAATATCTCACTCCACACCTGTAACAGTGTTTATTAAAAAAATTCTAACAACAATTTTTATCCATTAATAAACATAAAACCGTCAGTGCTGATAATAAACTAATACCTGGAAGAACTTTTAATTCAACTTCATCACTATACTTTGGTGGCCCACCACTTTCAACTATGCAGCGATAGAGTCCCCCATCTCCTTCAGTTGCATTGCTGATAACTAGGGTTCCACTTGGAAGTTTGGTAAGTCTATCATCCAGAAGAAGAGGCTGTCTGTTCTGTTCCCACCTCACAAATGGGACCAAATCTGCATTAACTTCACAATTCAGAATTGCACTGTTCCCAACATAAACCGAAGAAGGTTCTGGTTGGCTGGAAAATCTTGGAAGACCTAGACAATAAAGAAAATGAGAAAATAAAAAGTAGTTAAATATTACTTTAAAATGTAGTCATAGGAACCAGGAGCAAGTCAGCCTGTGTGGCCACATGTGTAGTGGAACCAGGGTCAAGAAGGTCCATGGGTCAGGATATTGGCTACATACAGGGATACAGATCAAGTAAATAAATGTACTAGGAATAACTGAAGTCAGATTCCTCACAGTTGAAGAAGCAAGGTACAAATATTAAAAGCAGAAGGGTAGAATAAATCCCATGGTATTGCACTAGAACAGAGGTATCAGTGTAAACTTAAGTTTTATAAAACTATAGATGTATATCTGGATATAAATGTATATGCGTAAAATATATATACATTTCATATACAGTTATTACAGATACACACACACACGCATACTAACTCTGTCCAGAGAGCCCAGAATCAATGTCACTTCAGTAGCAATGTGTACATATGGTGACCTAATCATGATTTCTAAATACTATTCTCCACATGCAGCTTGGAGAAATGGCTGATTCTAGGACTGGAGTAGGGAAAGAACAATATGAGTCTGGAAAATCTTGTGAGAGAAAGTAAGGAAGTATCTAAAGGATAACAGGTACATATCAAAAGGACACAGAAGTCAGATCAAAAGGAGTTTTCTCTGGCTAGATCTGGGATAATGAACATTAATGCAGGAAGAATCAAGAATGGATGCTAAAACTAGTAAGTGAAAGTTGGATGAAGAATAGGATATTTATGGAGTATCAAATTACTTCTTCCCAAAATACTTATTACTAATTAATAAAGGTACAAAATATTTATTAACTTTAGAGTAGAGAAACATAGTACTGACAATCTTAACCAAGTAATAAAAGTTAACATCACCAGTAATGGAACAAAACACCACATGCTTCCTGGCATGATGCACTAATAATACAGCATCACTTCTGTGATATTTCTCCCCAAAATGCAAAATCTGAATCTATTCATGGAGGAAAATTAGAAAATCTGAAATGAGACAAGGATAAACTGAAGAATGGTTTGAGATCGTAAGAATCTAAGGAGAGAACTACTAAGTAAAACTTGTAACCCTGGACCAGAAAAGAAGGGGGATGATGGGGCAGAGTTTCTGCTTTTGTTTTTTCTGCTACTAAGAACATTATTGAGACAACCAATGAAATATGAATTGTATCTATGGATTAAATGATAGTATTTTATTAAGGTTAATTTCCTAATATTGATGGATGTTTACTTAGGAAGAGGTCCTTGTTTTTAGGAAATACACACAGAAGTATTTAGGTTGGGGTAACATATGCAACTTACTCTTAATGGTTAAGAAAAAATTTTATGTGGGTATGTGCATATTAGGTGATAAGCAGATGTGGTAAAATGTTAACAATCGGGTAATCTGATTGAAGAATATATGAGATTTCTTGGTTTCATTCTTATGACAATTCCACAAATTTAAAATTATTTCAAAATAGAATATTAACCAAAAAAATGTAGTCATAAATACTTTGCAGATGCCACAGAACGTAATGGTTAAGAGCAGATATACAAGGATCAACTGCTCCACATCCTCATTTGGTACTGGCATACTTTTTGACTTTTAGCCACTCTAACAGGTGTGAAATGGTACCCCATTGTGGTTTTAATTTGCATTTTCCTAATGATTAATGATTTTGAGCATCTTTACATGTGATATCACCTACACCTACATTTTCTCTTATTAAATGTCTGTTCAAGTCTTTTGCCCATTAAAAAATAGGGTTGGGGCTTCCCTGGTGGTGCAGTGATTGAGAGTCCGCCTGCCGATGCAGGGGACACGGGTTCGTGACCCCGGTCCAGGAAGATTCCACATGCCGCGGAGCGGCTGGGCCCGTGAGCCATGGCCGCTGAGCCTGCGCGTCCGGAGCCTGTGATCCGCAACAGGAGAGGCCATAACAGTGAGAGGCCCGCGTACAAAAAAAAAAAAAAAAAAAAAAAAGGGTTGTTTTTCTTTTTATTGTTGGTTTGTAGTAGTTATTAAAAATATATTGCAGCCATGAGTTCTTTTTTAAGCATATACTGTGAATATTTTCCCCAATCTGTGGGCTGACTATTCATTTCTAAAGGTGCCTTAGATGAGCAGAACTTCTTATAATAAAATCTAAATTATCTTTTTTTCTTAAAAAAAAAAAGAGCAGATATACAGAAAAGACTAGTGGTTACGTGGGGGAAAGTAGGGTGGGGACACAGGGGAGGGGGAGTGGAAGGTACAAGCTATTGGGTATAAGATAGGCTCAATGATGTATTGCACAACATGAAGAAGATAGCCAATAATTTTATAATAACTGTAAACGGCAAGTAACCTTTAAAGATTGTATAAAAATTAAAAAAAAATTTTAAGTGACTCTTATATGCTCAGAACACAACAAAATGTTTCTTCAAAGACTAGCAAACATTAAATAATGAGAAACATAATTCCAGGTTTTCTAGTTCTATGATAGTCAATTAGTCTATATGGAAATGACACACAGGCTGTCTAGCTCTGCTACAAATTTTTTCTTATTTTTTTATTTCAAGGGGATTTTTGAAGGAAAGAAATAAAGATAAAATTAACCAAATATCTACTTTTCAGAAATCGGAAAATTAGAAGCAAGAATTAACAAAGATTAACAAAGAAACTAATAAAGTAGAGGAAAAAAGGAATCAAATAAAACCAAGAACTAGTTCTATTTTTAAAAAGTCAAAATATTCTCCCTCCTGTGCTCTCATGAAAATGAGTAATTTTTTAAAATATAAACCCACAACAACATATGGGAAGTTGGCAGACAAGAGATTTCAAAAAGTTTCTGGATAGGGAAAGCAGATGGAGGAGCTAGTAACTGACATATCAAGGCAGAAAATGCTGCAGCTTCTTTTGCTCACAAGTAGGAGGCCAGTTTGTCCTGCTGTCTTTGGAGAATTGCAGGAGAAAAGAGAGAGAGTGGGAGTGAGGCATGGGATTGACAAGAAGGGATTAACAGTGTTTGTATTTAGACTACCCAGTTACCCCACCTTTGGGCACAAAACACCCACAGCCAGGGGACTGCCCAGGCAGTAAAAGAAAAATTTCTGCTGTGGAGATATGAGACAGCCCAGAGAAAAAGACCTGTCACATTTAATTCTATGAGCTATCTACTTAGTGTGCTTTCAAAAATTCCCCTTCTTGTCTGACTTAGCCGGAGTCAGTTTCTATTGCTTGCAAACAAAGAACTCTAACCAATAGTTTTTCAGAATGGCAATTTAGCAGGAGCGTATTTTTTTTGGCAGCATTTTTTTAAAAATAGTTTTACTGAGGTACAATTTATATGATAAAGGCTACCATTTAAAGTGCACAATTCAATGGTCTTTAGTATATGCAGAGTTGTGCAACCATCACTATCATCTAATTTTAGAACATTTTCACCATCCCCCAAAGAAACTTTGTATTCACTTGCAGTCATTCCCGTTCCTTGTACCCACCCCTTTCCCACCCTCTTCATGCCCTCATTCCCCCCATCTCCAGTCCTATTCTATTCTATAGAAATAAAGATTTGCAAGTTTGTTCACTATACTACTGTCTATAAGATCAAACAATTTTTATCCATTAACTATTCATCAAAAAGGGAATTTTTAGATAAATCACAATATATACAAATACAATGGATACTATGCAACTATTCAGAAGAACTTCTACTCATGTCTTAGCTTAGATATTATTTCCTCCTGATACCCAGGCCAAGAGCAGGTTAAACAAATCTCCTACAGAATGTTGTTTGCAGCAAAAGAACTTGGGTTTTGTATTAAAATTGCCTATTTACTTAGATATAAGGTCAAAAATGTTTCCTAAAGGATATGAAAGCTAAAAGGAATGATGAACAAACCTAGCAGAGGAGAAGAAAGAGAAGAAAAGGTGGAGGACAGGATTAATAGGCAGTGAGGAAGCCGTGAACAAAGGCCAGAGGCAGAGGATGAAAGGGAAGTGAAAACATTCAGTACTGCCAGAGCCTAAAATGAGGTGAGGGTGGTGATGGTGGTAGGGGGCAGGGACAGAAGCAGAACGGAGTGTTAGGAATGAAGCTGGAGAAGTGGAGGTCAGCTCACGAAAGGACGCAACAGGCCTGTTAAAGAGTTTAGACATTAACTTGATGTTGTTTACTGGAGAGCCACTGAAGGGTGAGAAAGAGTGCTCTGACCACAGAGTGGAGACTGGGTTGGAGGAGGGAAAAAATGAGGTGGCAGACAGTTACAAGGTTGTGATGAGGGATGACCAGGAGAAGCCTCAGGAAGGAGCATGTGGATCAAGTACAGAGGAATTAGGAAGCAGAATTCACTGGATTTGGTGATTGGACGTGGGGGACAGCTGAGAGGAAGGAGTTAAGATTAAAAGCCCAGCTTAAGAACGTGAATGATAAACAAAAGCTGACCTAGGTGACATTATAGGGGCAGTCAGTCATAATGCTAACTTATTTATCAACATTTTGGAGAAAGTATGGCAAAAAGATTTTTGAAAGAAAGAGAAGAAAGAAAAAAGAGAAAAGGCAAACTGTCAAAAGGCCTGATTCTTTTCTCCTTTTATTTTTCCATCCTCAATCTGTGATTATGAAATAATTACAGTGGCTGTACATCACACTCAAATTCAACTTTTGAGTATCTGGCTGCAAAGAGAAAAAGAGCCATCACACTCTGAATGAACAAGCAAATACAACCTGTAGTGAGCAGGAGGTGGGGAGCCATGATCCAAGAGTGGGAACAAGATGGGAAACTACTGTCTCAGTCATATTCTTTGTTCACATGTTAGCATTTCACCAAGGTGAGAATAAATATGAGACTTAAAGATAAAACAATTTTTGTACAATCTGACCCTTAACAGAAACTTACTTCATCTGGTTCTCAAGTGTAAAAACACTGATCTGAGGACTATAGTATCTACTGCAAACAGTATGATCTCTTTAGGAACCACAGCTTATCTTTCTAGATCTTTAATTGTTCTTACACTTTCCAACATTTTTCAAACAGGAATGCGCTAAAAGAGAGTGAATTTTTCTCTTTACAATCTTCTGCTCTTTATATATATACATATATATCCTACAGTTTTTTTTTTTAATTTTTAATTTTTGGTGGGCCTTCTCTAGTTGCGGTGAGTGTGGGCCACTCTTCATTGCGGTGAGCGGGCTCCCCACTACGGTGGCCTCTCCCGTTTCAGAGCATGGTATCCTACAGATTTTTAAATAATCCAATTAAATGTCATTTCCTTGGTTAAGGCATAAAGAACCAAGACTGACTATACTACAAGTTTTCCAAAATCATGCTAAATGGTTATGCGGGTAGGGTAAAAGTTCACAATCAAAGTGACAATTTTCCTGCACAACTTCTTTTGCCATTTCCAAGTTAAAAAGATAAAAAGACCTAGCTCAGTACTTCTGATAGCAACTTTAAGCCATCTAAACCATTAGAAAGTGGAAAAGTGCTATAGTTTAATCCCTACAGCACTGATCAAGTCCTAGCATAATCCTATACACCTGGTATATGCTCAATAGATACTCGTTAAATGAGTGTATTTGCTGTAACCAGTTTAATGAAAACTCTAAGATAATACTGCTTTCATCAAGATTTACCCTTTATAAAAAATTTGAAAATACAAATAAATTACTCAACAAAACTTACCTGCTACTGTGAGCTTGGCTGTTCTGCTGACAATAGTTCCAAGACTCTCAACAGTGGCCACACACTGATAATAACCTTCATCAGGTTTATTGTGTTTGGAATGCACCACATTGCTAATAAATAAAGATCCATCTGGGAGAAGCTGGCGTCGATCGTCTGACACTAAGTTTAAAAAAGTTCCATCTTTTTTCCATTCAATTTTTGGAGAAGGCTCAGAATATGCTGAACAGTTTAGTATACCAGAAGAGCCTCTAATTGAGAGGGTATCCACTGGTTCCACCAAAAAATAAAATGGAGTGAATGTCCGAATGCTGGATCCTGCAAAAATAATAAAGAAAAAGAACAAAGTTAAGCAAAACTTTCCTCTACTACTGCTGTAAGAAAATATAACATGTCCAAAAATTATTCTTAAGTGGTTTCCCCCTTAGGTATGATACAAATACAGTCATTTCACTATGAATATATAATAAATAAAATCTACTTATTATTAGAAAATCAAAATTTGACCCATTTAGAAGAACATTAGGAAAAAAGACCCTGCTAGCAGAGATAATCCAACCTTGTTAGATGATATGAGTATCTAGTAAAAGTTTTATTTCAAACCCTAAATGGGATTTAGAAATATTTAAAATTACGGTATTCAAAGTGAAATTTTCTACAGAATGTAAAGGAGGTAGAAAATTGAAATGATTCTTTGTTAATACGGTATCTCTTCTATGTTTACCAGCTGTATTTCTTTCATAAATTCACTATACACACCCTTTGTCCATTTTTCTAGTGGATTATTCATCCTATTGACTAAAAGCAATTTTTGGACATAGCTATCAAGTTTTGTAAATGTTCTTTTTTCTACTTTGATATGATTTTTTGTTATAAGAAAATATATTTTAACTACATAAAAGTAAATCTGTTACATTTAAAAAGGTTTCCTTTATCGCAAGAATATTTTTTAAAATTCAGCTTTGTTTTGTGCTAGTACTTTTGTGGTTTCATGTCCTATATTTAATCTTCATCTAGAATTCATTTTGATGTAAAGACCACTGGAGGGATCAGGTTAATTTTTCTAAGTCTTCAGCCAGTTCTTTGAACATGGAAAAAACATAATTTAAAGAAAACATTTGCTATAAACCCTATATTCTCAGCCAGAGAAAGCTTTCCAACTTAGTTTTACCTCTTTTTTTCACGAGAACTACCGATCAACTCCTTTGTGAACAACTCGAGTTGGAATCAGATTTCTTCATATGAACAAATGAAACCAAGACTTTTTCAAATATACACCTACACAGCCCTTTATTTATAGGTTACTTACATTATGAATTTAAGTATGACACTAATTCTTTATTACCTAATAAAAGAATAGTTATAAATAAATATGAAACACACTGGCAGAGGAAAGGAAATAATATTCACTTGGTTTAACATTTTCCAAAACTTACAATGATAAACAAATTCCAAATAGACTAAGCACCCTTTCCCAAACACCACGAGGGGTTTCAATCCCCATTTGATGAATATGAAACTGATTCTTCAAGTCCTAAAACTCTTGAAAGTGAGCTTTAGGAATTTTTCAGAAGTAACCTACAGTAATTTGCTTCTTCTTACTATAAAAATTTTTATACTGCATTAATTTACTGGAACTATAGTAAAATAAATCAAAATATAAACTTCAGGGCAGTAAAAAATGGTTAAATAAGAAAAATTACCTTTATACCTTTTCTGTATAACTATTAAGTCTTCATTACACCACCCAAATTTAAACTCAGAGATATATTAGATTGGCAGTTAAATTATGCAAATTAACAATTTAAAATAGTCATTAACTATATTAATAAATAAAATTAATTTAAAAATTTGGACAGTCTTTGCCACTTGACAAAAAATACAAAAAAATTACACCAATATATTTTACAGTTCAATGTTCGATTTTGATTTTATTTCATTTAAAAAGCCTATGTCATATCAACCAAGTTGAACAAAAGAGTATATGTGTTCAAAAAATTAAGAAAAAATTATACTCATGAAAGTTTACAAATGCCTTTGAAAAATCAAGGCACTTCAAAATTTTACCAAAAAATATCCATCCATTCAGTATACTTAGAATATAGCATTGCTTAAATATTTACATTTATCATCTTTTATTTTATTCTCTCAGCAGGGGGTGACCTAAGATATTCTTTCACTTAAAATCTCTCAAAGGCTTGCCACTACTTTTTATTAAAAAAAAAATCTAAATAAACTCCTTAACTGGCTTGCCGCATCACTCTGTGATTGGCCTCTGCCTACTCTCCAGGCCCCTCCCCTTGAATCGCTCTTCCTTCATCCAGTAAAGCATGCTGCACTCCTGTCAGTCTCACACAACATCTGCCCTCTTCACACAAGCTATTCCCACCGGCACCCCTCTCCAATTAACTAGTCTTCCCTCAAGCTCAGCTTAAAGATCACTTTCTCAGAAAAGCTATCTGTCCCTAAAGCCCAGGCAAGATTAGTTTGCCCTGTTACAAGCAGGCATGGCATACAGTAATCTACCCACATAGCACTTCAAATGTATTAATCTTTAAATGTTTGTAATAACTTGTTAAGGCAGAGAGAGTCGCAAAATTTTCTTGGTTCCTGGTACCCTTATTTGTTCAGTAATTTTTTTCATGAATTCCTTAGGCTAAAAGAAATGCCTAAGAGTTCTGGTTGTTAGGTTCAAATGAATGAATAAATACTTGTGTCTTAACAAGTTAGTACCCGTTTGAAAAAATAATACACATAAACTGAAAAATATTTTAATTTCATCTTTCAGTAATCACAATTACTTATGGGATGTGTGCACCTACTGGGCTTTGCACAACTTCTCAAACCTTGAAATCCCATTGGATATTGCCATCCTCATTTCCTGTTCCACACATTTCTGCATGATACTTGCTTTTTATCACAGTGACCACCAAAAACCCAACTTCAAGAAGATATCGCAGCATCAAGATGAAAGCAGCACAATTAAATGTTGAACTGTGAACTACCTTGACCTAGAAGTTTACATGGTGTCTAACAGATATGTTTCCCTAAAAAGTCTGAAATATTCCTGTAAGTTCACTGAGGTGCTGTGGGGTATCTCAGGGTACAGTTTGGGAACTGCAGGGTTACAATCTATCTTTCTCCAGTGTTTTTATTCACCATATTCTCAGTGCCCACCTAGCACAGTGGATGGTATCAATCTTTAGATTATACAACCAGATAACTTCTAAAAACTTCCACTGCTTAAAGTATTAATGAGACCCCAGGTTCCATTCCAATACTAGGCAATTAATATCACTCTCTTGCATAATAAAACTTACTAACAAGCAGTGTTTTCGTTAATTTTGATGAGCTTTAAAAAAAAAATTATATAGAAGAGCAAAGAAAGCCAAGAAGAGTCAAAATAATTTAGAAGAACAAAGTAAAGTAACTGCACTCATCAGTTACCAATATTTATAAAGCTACAGTAATTAAGCCACTATGTTCTGAAACAGGGTGAAACAGAGCCACGTAACAAGCTACAGAGCCCCAAAATAGAGTATATATATTTGGAAACTTAATATGCAGTAGAGATAGCGTTTTGGGAAAAGGATGAATTACTCAACAAATGTTACTAGGGCAACTAGTTATCCATAGAGGAGAAAACTGGGACATCTACTCACAACATATAATAATAGACACGTGTTTCTGTGTATCAGGCACTGTTCTAAACATTATTTACATACTAACCACACAATCTTCACTACTACCTTATGAGATAGGTACTATTATTATTTCCATTTTAAAGAAGGAAACTGAAGCACAGAAATGTTAATTAACTTGTCCAAGGTCTCACAGGTATATAGTAAATCACAGAACCAGAGTCTGTGATCTTAACCACACTACACCACCACTCATATACATATAGAAAAATACATTCCAGACTTATGAAAAAATTAAGTCATAAAAGTTTTAGGGAAATACAGGGAGAGAGTACCCTGGAGTTAGGCAACCTTTTAAATCAAAATAGGAAACCTTAAAGCTAGAAAAGATAGATTTGCTTTACCTCACTGTGTTTAAATTAAAAAACAAAACAAAACAAAACAACTCTTGTATGGCAAAATACCATATTGGAAGAAAATATATCACATATAACAGATAAAAAATTTAAAAGGTCACACCACTCAACAGAAAAATGGGTGAAACTGTGTTCCAATAAAACTTTATTTACAAAAACAGCAGGATGGATTTGATCTATTGGCTGTAGTTTACTGATTCCTGCCTTAGAATATTTAGCAAGCAAAAAACGAGTAAGCTACGTTTCAATTGATCTGAAATGAGTTCTGTGAAAAATGAACAATGCAGGCATATGCATATGATTGTAGGAGCACTGAGAAACATAGGAAAGTATACACCAGGTTGTTACGACCTGTCACTGGGAGGGGAAAGATGGGAGGGGACTGGTGGGGGATGGGGGGACAGGGAGGGAGGATAAAAATCCCCAAGCACGAGTAAAACAATTTTGTGGTAAAAATCAGCTTGTATGTAATCCACTGATAAATATTATAAACATGTATGTGGTAGATATGGGTGTATGTTTACACTTGTGTGAATACCTAAAGGGAAAGGCTTAACTAGTCACCAAAATGGGGATCATCTCAGCGTGGTGAGATTTCAGTTGCTTTTTAACTATTTCTTTCATCTTTGGTATTGTCTGAATATTTTACATTAAAAATAGTATTGTTTCTTTAAGCAGAAATAAAGCTATTTTCATCTTTATATTTAGTGTACATAGGAGGGGACAATATGAAAAGTCTGGGGTATATTCATATACTTAGATTGAATGATTGTCAAAATACATATATTTGTTAAATAAAAAACATTCAAGTTTTAAAATGTGTATAAGATGACCCCACTTACATTAAAATATATGTACACAGGTATATATATATATGTGTGTGTGTGTATGCATATAATTAAATGTAAATATAGAGGGAAAAGTCTGGAAGAAAAGTCAACAGAGTTCTCTCCTGGGGAGAGTAGCAGGATTGAGCTGCTCATGGAGAGTGTACAGGCAGAAGGCTTTTTACTCCATGGATTTCTGTATTATTCACTTTTAAAAATATGAACAATTGCTTATGCATTCTTCTTGTCATCTTTTTATTCTATGATAAAAAAATTTTTGTTGTTGGTGGTGATTAATCCTTTGTTGAGGACAGAGGTTTATTTTTCAAAAGATCCACCACCATTGTCTTTAACCACTTTTCCTTTGTCACAGTAGAAGAGTTATCAGACACTCACTTCCTGGCTGACTTTGTATAAAAACTGTCCTGTACTTC